TTGTTGTTATTATTTATTTGCCGTCTGCTATGGCAGACATTTTTGCCTTGCCTCCCACCCTCATGCTTTGGTCGGTTATACATGATTTGTCGCCTTGACGCTGCCCAAAACAGGCAAACGATCTGCAGCCTGATATTTCGCCCCGTTTTCGCCGCGCAGAATTTCCGCTTTGCATATATGGCGAAAATAATATAAGAGCCATCGCCCATTAGGCTTATGTATGCTGTTGTTTTATTTTTTTTTATTATTATTATTATTTTGTTTGCCTCTCTTTTCCACGATTACAAATTACTGCATTTCTCTTTTGCACGCCATTCCCAATGAACACAACAACAAGTCAAGCGCAGTGGGCGTTCATTTGTTCAGCAAGATTTTATTTTCGCAGTTAAATGATTTTCAGATACTCACTAGTTTGATTTACTTGTCTCGATTTGTCTTTTTTTTTTTTTAATTTGTAATTTATTTCTTATATTTGCTCTCGACTTTTGATTATAAATAGAGTAAACCGTATAAATTAAAAAGTGCACCATAGAAAATAGCAACAACAAAAATATATATACATAAATATAGAAGAAAAGAAAAACGAAAATACTTCGTATTTGGCAGCCGAAAGCACTTCCCATGGATCGAAGCTTGGATTCCATTGGCAGCTGTTCGTTAGATGTTGATGCGGATTCATCCGATATATCAGGTATACCAATACACGCACACGCACACGCACGCTTACCTAACCTCAATGTTGTGTATGTGTATTTTCTTATTTGATTTTGATTTTGTTTTTTTGTTATTGGATTTCTTTTTTATCATTGCTGTTTTTTGTAGTGTTTTTTGTTGTTGATTTTTACATTGCATTTTTTTTTTTATTGTTTTCTTGTTCGCTTCTCTTAATTTGCATTTATTAAACTTTCAAACCATTTGCAGATACCAGCGGCAGTCTCAACTTTCCCACACCGCTTTCAGTTAAGGACATAACACGCGAATTTACGGCGAATATTAAAGAGCGTTGCACTCTGCGGTCGCCGCAACAACAGCAACAGCAACACCAACAGCTGCAGCATCAGCAACTGCACCAACAACAACAACTGCCACTGCCTTTGCAGCTGCAGCGGACATTCACCACAACCGCCTACGTCAATCTGGATCAGCGAACGGGCGGTGTTCGCATGGTGCTGTCACCGCCTGCCACCAGCGACTTGGTCGATGTCGATTCGCAGGATCAACAACAGCAACAACAACAACAACAACAGCACAGCAACAGCCTCATTGTGGATGCCGCAGAGAAGAAGCCGAGCTATTTGAATCTGGCCTGTTGCGTTAATGGCTACTCAAATCTAACCACCTACGACTCGAAAATACGCCAGGACATCAACAAGTCGCGTGAAGTCTCGCCCATTCGTCCCTCAACGAGCAGTCTGCAGTATTGCAAGCGCAACAATCAGCTGGCAGCGCCGGTCCTGCACACAATGCCGCTGACAAAGCAGCCGGCCACAACGGCCATGGCCGGCAAATACAACGAAACAAACAACAACGGCAATGGCAGCAGTAAAAACGGCCATTTGGAGAACGGAGATTTGGCCTATTGCAATGGCGGCGAACCGAGCAAATCGGCGACTGCCACCAGCAGCTTTATACAGCAGCGCGTGGAGAGGCTGTACGGGCCGGGCGCGTTGGCTCAGGGTTTCTACAGTCCCAAAAAGCAGAGCTCATCGAGTGCGAAGCAACAACAGTTGAATAAACACCAGCTGGATTCGCCCAGCTCGACGGAGCTGTCACGCAAATTCAAGCAATTGTCGCCCAGCAAGGATTACGGCGAATTCCGGAAGAAACTGCAAAGCAATTGCACACGCTCCCAATCCGAGCAGCCGGTCAGCAAGACGAACAGCAGCCAGGCTCCAATACAGAATGGCGACACGGATCTGCCAGTGTTTCGTCACCTGAGCCACGAATTTCGTGCCCAGCTGCCGACGGTGTCGCCCAAGCGAACGGTGCAACGTGTCGCGAACGGCGCTGATGATGATCAGGTGGATTACTTGAAGCCGGCGAACACCGAGGAGTACATGAGCACCACCAAGATACGAACCGCTGGCGCTGGCAAGGATAATGGCGCTGAGGTGCAGCCGAGTCCTGCTGTGAGCGAGGAGAGCAAAACTGTGGTCAAGGATGGCAATTACTTCCTGAAGATACTCAAGGATGAACAGATACGTCTGATAGCGCTGGCCGCCGTTGCCGAGAAGTATATAGATGCCTTGACTGTAAGTTGAATGAATTTATTTGATGATATACATATATAGATAGATACTATATAGCAACTCTTGCAGAACAATCCTGATATAACGGAGGACACGTTTGGCCTGCTGCGCTCAGCTGCGGGCAAGGCTCGACTGCTGGCCTCACAGAAAATGAAACAGTTTGAGGGTAAGCCCAGGGCCGGAGTATGACAGGGACTATATATCAAGTCAGGCTCAACTCAAGGCTATATACGTACAGATGATGTCTTTATATATTTTATATAATAGATCTCTATTGTAATAAAGAATAAGTCTTAAACTTTTGTTAAACTCTTTTTAGGTCTGTGTCACAACAATTTGAATCGCTCGCCGGAGGATGCATTTCCTACAACCGTAGATGATTTACAGGGCTTCTGGGACATGGTCTATTTGCAGGTGACGCACGTGGATAGCATATTTGCCGACATCGAGAAACTGAAAAGCAATGACTGGCAGGTGGGTGAATGCCTTAGGGCAACTGTTTGCGAATCGACTTAATATATCTATATATATATATATATATATATTGCTTGTAGCAAATTGCTGAGCCCGCTGAGGAAGTATCGACGGCGCCTGTTAAGATAACAAAATTGAACACAAAGACTGGCAATGCGAAGGCGAAAGGTGCGGGCACGGGAACTGCAGCCGCTCTGGGGCCATCGAATGCTGTTGCGGCCATGAAGCGGGAGGCGCAACGTAAACAGTTGCTGGAAATGAAGCGTCTGCGACGCGAGCAATTAGCTGCAGCAGCCAAAAATCAAGCGGCCTGTGATGAGGGGGCAAACATTGGTGATACTGTGAATAATACCGTGAAGAACAGCAGCGACCACAGCAGCTGAATCGTGCTGAACCAATACAAAAACAAGAAAACCAACAACTATTACAATAATAACAACCACAACATGCTCTCTAGTTACATCATAATACATAAAATTAACTCACATACTCACTCACTTACGCATACAAACACACACACACACACACACACAAATACTTAGAAATTCCTAGTTGAATTAATCCTTGACTAGTCCCAACTAACTATATTTATATATATATATACATATATATAAATACATAAATATTGCAAATGATTTGGATTGTGTCACAAGCAACGACAACATTATCGGTACCCATATATATACAAACCTAACAAATCTAACAAACAAATCTACACAAAACACTCTATCCATATATATATCAAACTCTGTATATGTATATATATATAGAAAGTTATCAACAATCGTTAACGGCTCCTCGTGCGTTGTTTATAAAGTTTGCCTTATCTACGTGTTTTTTGCTCGTGTTAAATCATTTTTGCTGTGCACCGAAAGAAAAAATAAAAAGAGTTTGTAAATTTTTACTCGTGCAACACACTCACTCACACACACCACATATATATATATATATAAATATAAAAGACATTTATTTTTGTGTAATTGTATTTAGCCAACTAAGTAAGCGAATGAAAACAAATCACAAAAGTGAAAATTTTATAAAATGAATCTAAATTTGATAAACAATTATTATATTATTTCTCGGCCGATTTAGCTGCATGTATTTTTGAGATTAATTTCATTTTGTTGTAAATGCTGCATTGCTAGCAAACCTAGAAACAGGGGACATACACACACACACACACACCTACCCGGATATACCAACAATCTCACTCTTAATTAATTTATAATGTTTTTGTAATAAATTATTTTTCACTTAAATTAACTATTTTTCAATTCCATCTCTATTTTTTCAGTATAAAAATGAAGTTTACTTTAGCCTAATTAAATTTGTTAAACATATGCAATATATTGTCAATTATGATATTGTGAACTAGCTTTTGCTATTGTGAATTTTGAGATGTCTTATTAGACTAATTAGATCATGCATTCTGTTATAAATTTTGAAATTATTCTGTTATTGATATTTTTGCTCATAGCTCTCATATTGCGAACCATAGCTAAGAAAAAATTATAAGTTATAGTAGTTAATGAAGCTGGAAGCATTTATATTGAGGTCACTAAAGAAACTACTGAAATGTCTAGGGCAACGAAAAAATGTTGAATGAAAACCGAATAAAATATAGTTCATGATCATTTGGGCTATCGTCTAGATCTTTAATATATATGTTAATGTAATATATATGCGTGTATGCTTACATGATATTTGCTATATAGGCAAATGTCTAGGGCTCTTGAATCTTATGAAAAATTGATATGTATTAAAAATAGTATTAACTGAGTTGCTTTCATGAAGGTCTTCAATGATTTCCCTTGAATTATATGCAGTTGAGATGAGTGCGAACAAGTGTTATTAAAAACACTAATATTACTATTATATATTAACTGTTAATATCAGCTCAGACTAAAAAGTCTTAAGCAGCGTTAGAGTCTTGTAGACAAATTGACTTATATCACTTGTGGCGCCATCTATGTGTCGATTCAACCACTTATTGAGCGTTGCAAAAAGCCAGCTATGTGTCAGTCTCAAAATCTAAGCTAAATGCGATTTAAACTGAATATGAAATGTTATTATAACAAAAAATCCCAGAACTTATTTAAAAATACTATAAAAATTGTTTATAGTTTTTTCAATGCGTTTGTTAATTTAATTTTAAATTAATTTGATTAAATCATTTATCCCCAAATTTTAAAAATTATATTATTGTTATTATTATTATTATTATTTTTTTTTTTTAAGAAAAAAGGTTTGTTTTTAGTTTTTTTAATCATTTTTATTTGGCTTCTATGGTAGGACTTATTGTTTAAACTATTTGTAAGTACAAATTTGCTCCAATTGCATTTTGCATTGCTCATCAGCGTTTCATCAAGCAACTAAATTACCGTAATACTACGACAGACACATATATATATATTTGTATATATATATATGATCAGATATATATATATATATATATGTTTTAGAGCGCTTCGTTAAACTAAATTCATCTCTAACTATTTAATGTTTTGGGCAATAAATATTAAATTTATATTCATATATATATTTATTTATATATATATTAGATTTGTTTATTTAATGCGTATGCTAGTTATATATATATATGCCCAGGTGCATATATCTATATATATATTATGTATATATATAATAAGTATTAACAATATGTTTGCTAAGTTTCTAGTTATCAATATTTACAAATTAATTTTTCTTTACTTTTTTTTTGTTTTTTGATATATAGAAAACAACATTTTGGATCTGAGAGCTGCCAGCAAGACCAACAAGAGTGCGCTAGTCGGTAGTGCACGACTAGTGAATACCCTGCAGCCACAGTGGGGAGCTATAACATTAGGCGAGCTTACTGAAATTTTAGGAGCATCAAGTTAATAGAGAAACATGTGAATGCCTAAGGAAAAACATATTCGTTGGATTCTTGGGCAAAAGGTTTCAGCTATTCAAAATCTAGAATATTTCGAAATTTTATTTTATTAGCAATACCTAATTTGGTAGTTCTAGCATTTAAAAAACTCAAGTTAGCCGTATAAAATATAATCAAAATAACGATATTTATCGATATAACAGAAACAATAAAAGGTATCAGATGAAAATATTATATTTTAGCGGTGTGGGGTAAACAGGAAAACGCATGAACAATTTGAAGGGTTTACCTCTTATAGTACTCGAGTTAAAAGCGCTAAAATGACTACGAAACACACAATCGTACATCTAAATAGGGCAAATAAGGATATACTCTGGCTCAGCCAAGTTTCCTTCTACCTGTAATAAACACTTGTAGTAATCCAATCTACCCTACCAATTTCAATAGCTACAGGGTATTCAAAGTATTAAATTTTGATAAGCGAAATTTGGAATTTTGATTTGGTTTCTAGATGCAACACTACAAAAATACTTAATGCCAACTTGCTGCCACATCTCGTCTAACAACATTATCTTCCACTTCCAGCTCTCCCACCTCGTCCTGCTCCTCTTGCTCTACCATAATTTTTTTATTTTTTTTATTTTTGAGTATTTTTATTTGAATTTGAAGCTATTCATTGCTGGCATTGAACAGGTCCGCCAACGTTAATAGAGCCGCCGATCCATTGCCGCTCGCCTGCAACAATTGCAGCTCTATGGAGTAGGCAGCCGCAGCCGCCGCCGCCGCCGCAGCAGCAGCCGTTGCGGCCGCCGCCGCCGTTGCGTTCAGTTGCTCCCTCTCCAACAGCTGTTAGTCGAGATTGTGCGGTGGCGTGCTGTTCGGTCCGCCCATCATAAACGATGTCGGACTGTGCACCGAAATGCTATCCAGATCCAAGGTGCCGTCGCCCTTCTCCATCAGCCCACTGCCGTCCTGTTTCATCATCATGCGACGCCATTTGGCTCGAGCATTCTGAAACCAAACCTAGAAAAGCGAGGGAGAATATCAAATTATTAGAATTGTATATCTAAATAGTATTTTTTAGTATTTTATAGTATTTTTTGGTATTTCAATTATTTATGAATGAAAGTATCTATTTAAGTATCTGGAAACTTAGTCTCCAAAAATCTAGTATTTTTGAAAATCACTTTTCTAGTATTTGGTATATTTATTTGTTCATTTGGCACACCCACCTGCAGCACTCTCTTTGGTAGGCCCGTTTTCTGTGACAATTGCTTCAGATCCTTTGCATCGGGATTGTGATTGATGGCAAAGTAGGACTTCATGGTGCGCAGCTGATGGTGCTTGAACGAGGTGCGCATGCGTTTGGTTCGCGACGAGGCGCTCATGTGGCTGCCACGACCAAAGTCCACATATTCCGTATTGAGATCTGCCAGCAGAGCAAGCAAAAGCAGAGAGAGAGAGAGAGAGAGAGAGAGAGAGAGAGAGAGAGAGAGATATGATTTTACAGCTCAGTTTTATGATGGGGGTTTTTATGGAGACTGGCGCCAGCTACGGATCAGCCATAAAGTGCTCCGAGACATATATACACTATATATATATGTATGTATGTGTATATATGTTCGTTCGTTCGTTCGTTTTATGTCTTTACTGTACCTATATTAGCTGTAAAGGCCTCGATATCCTTTGGCTTGCGTTTGCGCGGTCTCCCCTTTTGCCGTGCCGGCTGCGGCAAGCCCGTGATGACATGCGAAGTGGGCACAAAAATGCCCGTAGGAACAATACTGCGACTGGGATCCGAATGCGGACTCGATGAGTCATTGTGCGGCGAACCGAATTGTGTGCTATAAGGATATGTGGCGCTCATGCTGGTCGACGATGCTGCGTCCCCCTCGCGCGCTATGCTATAGTGGGTTCTACAGTGAGACAGAGAGAGAGAGAGAGAGAGAGAGAGAGAGAGAGACTGATTAGTTATCTAGTCAATTGACCACATCGAATTTTGCACTCACCTGCAGTAGATAAGCGCATCGATAATGCCATATTGATCGCCCTTGGTTAGGGGCGTATGGCAGACGGTGCAGCAGAAACAGTTAACATGAAAAACTAAATTGCGAGCGCGCATTACCAGCTCGTTGGAGCTTATCGATGCCAGGCAGCGGGAACAGCGGCGTGTGCCAAAAAAACTGCAAAGAAAAGAGAGAAAAGAGCGCATGAAGTACAAATATTGAATCAAATACAATAGTTGCAATATGAACAAGGCGAATATAAGAGTATCCAATTGGAGTTGGCTGGAGATTAGAGCCCGCTGACAACTTATATTCATATATTGCAAGTCAGAATCACACATAGCTAGTCCAATGGGATAACATAAAGTTCAATACTTTTACTAAGTTTATCCATCAACGATATAGATTTTGTTTAGTGGCCACGTAATTAACTTAGATTAGCATAGACTATCCAATTAGAGCTAACAACTGCCAATTTACATGTCAATACGATTATTCAATAAATGCAGTTGGTCTATCAGCTATACCAACAACAACAATTAAGCAATTTATATTACATAAACAATGTTTGATGATTATCCAATAAGATCAAAGTGCTGTCATTTGATATGCGAATGTTGCCAATTAGATAATGTAGGCAATTAATAAGAACAACAATACTAAATACTAGCCAGTTGCAGCATAATTATTTCATAGTAAAATATGTTATATAATTAAAGAATCAATATTTATTTATATGCAATATATTTGCATATATAATATTTCAATATGCAATACCTAGCACTTTCCAATTGGTTTTCACAATGGCTTCCAATTGGTTTTCTTTATGAGTATAAGACAATGTGGCGAATTGGCATAGCGCAACTGTCAGGCAGTCTTCTCTTGTATAAAAGGACGCGCAAGGTCAAGCAAAGTGCAGTGCTCCATGAAAAGTGTAAAAATAATTAATTAAAATGTGTTAAGTGCTACTTCTTTCGAGTGCAAACTAAATGTTGAGTGATAAGTAATGCATGTGATGTAATGCAATGAAGGAAACGCGCATTTTAAATGATAAATGTTATTTTTTTTTTTTTTTTTTTGTTAAGCCAGCCGCCTTCGCTGGGCGAAAAATGGCGCAAAAGTCTTAAACTTGAGTGTTTTTTTTTTTTTTTTTAGTTTGTGTGTGCTTTGCAATTGAGCAGATTTAGCAAATGCCAAAAATGTGCATATAAAGTGCAGCGAAAAGTGTTAAGTGCGTAATCTAAATGTTAATTAAGAAATTGCCATAGCTGCAAAGTTGAACAACAAGGGCAAATGATCAATTCCAATGGAAGGTAATGGAAGGAGTGAACAAGCACAATGCATGCATATGGAAGTACTCACACTCCTACATGCATCAGCAAGCCAAAGCGTTGTCACACTCATACGCACATACGCAGGTTAGTGCGTACTCACTCTCGGGCATACGAATGTATGCAAGTGCTTTGACACACTCACACATACGCATACAGGCGTACTCTCACACTTCTATACATGCGTATTCTTACATACATGCGTACCGTGTAAAGAGAATAGATCAACAAAAAAGATAGTTACAAATATTTCGGCAGCGAAGAGAAAAGACAAAAGCAAATAATGATTAATGGCTGGCGTTGACTTGTGGCGGGCAGTATAAGAGTACTTATACTTGAACTTATGCGCAATATTCGCTGTGCGCTGCATTCGTTTGAGGCGAATTCGTATTAAAGGCAAACTCTTATATGCTTGCAGCAGCAATGAGCGATAATAGCAAGCCACGCCCACTAAACAGCGTGTAATTTATGTTTGTCTGTAAGCTTGACAATTTCAAACCTACAATCACGAAATTTGTAATGTGTAAGCAGAACTTTGAGTAGATTCATATAAGAAATTTAAGAATCATTTAAGATAGGGTATTTTTATAGTTAGTCATGGGTCAGGTGGTACATTCTTCAGTTTATAGCGCATGTAAATTGCAATACAGCCTCCACAGAATTCTAAACAGCGCTCACAATTATATGGCATGATCGTAATAAATCTTCGAAAGGAACCAAAAAGAGGCTGATATATACAAATATATATGTACAATATTTGTATAGGTTTTGTAGGCAATAATCTTCGCTTGGCCAGACAAAATTATGGCCTCTCAACTAATAACATGCTTTCCGGCTGCAGGAAGCTGGCTGGATTGCCGGTGAGCTACTGTGTCTGCCAACGCAATCAATGCCAGCGGCAAGATCTTTGGGAGTCTAGACCCAAACAATGAAGCCGTTAACAAAACGCCCACTCATCGTCAACGTCAGCAGCAGCGTCGGAGTTGGGGATTTGAGTCGAAGCTGGCGTCGGAGTCAGCAATAAGCATCGACGATGTCGGAGCATCACTTTGGAGCGTTCGCTACTGTTTTCACTTTCGCAAAATGACAGATCAAAGATAATCAGCCGTGGTCATAATGATCGAAGGAATACACTGAGAGAAAACAGACGTGAGATCTAGATGTGAAAGAGTAAGGATGAATGAGAGAGGTAAGATTGGGAATTCTCTTCTCATTATGCATACTCTATTCACTAGCTCATTTTAACAATTTTTTCAATACTAAAACTAGTTCATTAGCTCGAAAATGAATATAATACTTTGGTATTTAGTATTGCATCTTTTCGCTCAGTGCATGCAGTTTCGTGCCAAATAATGATGACCCTGTACGCAGACGTTTCCTAACACTGAAGTGCGAAAGAGATGGAGAGAGGGGCGACAGCAATTGGATAGTAGGAAACATCAAATGCACAAGACACGCGATTTCTTTGACATTAATCAAAATAATTGGCGCATTTCACTTCAACTTCGCTCAACAGAGTCATTCTCACATTTTGCTGAAAATGAAATGAAAATGAAAGACAAACCAACTGCAACAATTCCATATAAATTTATCATATTTTTTTCATTTGCTTTTTTTTTTTTTATAGAGCGCGGCGCGCAGCTCGCATTTTCATTTCCCATTCGCAATTTCGTTGAAAATTATTTGGGATGTGACGCCGAGATTTTCTGTTTTGGTTTTTTTTTATTTTTTTATTTTGTCACAGACGCAGACTCTCACCCGAGATCTCTTTCTCTGTGTGTGGATATACCTTGTGTGTGTGCCGGGGGTAAGCCCCATAAATAATATTAAACATGGATGCAGCATCGTGCGAGAGGCGACGCAATGCCTGGGCTACCAGCTCATAAAACTGTTTCAGCGACACAGACAGACGACAACAGAGACAACGGTGAAGCAGGCGGAGATGGAGACGGAGACGGAGACGACGAAGGCGAAGACGAAGACGGTGGCGGCGATGCCTTCATTTCGTGCCACTTTATTTTTGTAAGTGGAGCCGCGTAGCCCTTCGCTCTTCAACCTGCCACGCCCCCTTTTGCGCCTATTGCGCCAACATGAGGCGCACACAGAGAAAGATAGGGAGAGCGAGAGCGAGAGAGTGAGAGGGAGCACAAGAGAGAAAAAATGAATTATGATTATTGCCATGTAAAAGAGCAGGCGAAATGTCAAAGTGACAACGCCTAATATATGATTATGTTTTTCGAGCGCTCGAAATCTGATACTCTCACAAGCACACACACACACACAGACACAACACAGGCACGGGCACGGATACACTCACACACACACATACTCTCTCACATACGTTCTGGACACGCTGGAACCGCAGTCCAGAGAACCCACAGCCTCAATGTCATTTCATGTGATGTGTTGCTGTTGTTGTTGTCGTTGTTGCTGTCGCTGTTTCGGCTTCTGGCTGTGGCTGTGGCTGTGGCTGCGTCTGTCTGTCCATCTGTCCATCTGTCTGTTTGTGCGTTCGTCTGCCCCACTACTATTTCCCACCGCATAGCGCACATCAATCCCAGAGTTGAGCCAAAAACCGATGCGATACCTAAAAACGCCGGCTGACTGCTTGGGTTAACCACATCGTTCAGCTTTATTGTTGTTGTTGCTGGTGTTGTTGTTGTTGCTGTTGTTGTTGTTGTTGCTGTTGTTGTTGGTGTTGCTGTTGTTGTGCTGCACTTGTTTCGGAGGCGTTGCCCAATACACTAATACACTGAGCAAAAATTATGGCTATTTGGGATATGTGAGATTGATTTAAAAGGGAATGAAATTCTTGTTCTATTGGGAAATTATCTATAGGATTATTTATAGATAGAATGAATCTTTTAGAAGTGATGTATATATAAGAAAATGTATAATAATTGAAATTGAAAAGCTCTAAGGAAAAATCTTTAAATATTTAAGATTTTAAGAATTTTAAGAAATATTCTTAAATCAGATTATTCTTAGATTATTAAATTTAAGTTAAAATTTTTTCGCATCATTTTAGAAGAATTTCCAATTAGAATTTATTATTAACAGAAAATATTTTGTTAAAGATTTAAAAACATTTTTAGGAGCTAGGGCTTTAAAATGAAATTAGATTTTTATGTGCATATATAGATGTATTTATCGTTACATAAAAACTAGTTCTACATTTCAATATATCTCTAAATATTGTCCGAATTTTCACACTTGATTTGCATCTAGAATTTCTATATATATATTTTCTTTGAGTGCACTTGAAGCGTGCGAAGCTGCGACACATGTGAGCAGCCGCAGCAGCCACATCCACATCCACATCAGCATCCGCATCAGCAGCAGCAGCAGCAGCTGCTGCAGATCTTTGCTTGATAGCCACGATTTTCGTCTCAGTCACATGAGCTCGTGAGCTTCTGCTTATATTTCACTAAAAAAGTCAAGATTTGTTTTTGTTTTCAGATTTTTTTTCGGGCCTCTGATTACGCAAATAGATATGAAGCTTTTTGGGGTTTGGCTTGGGCTTTGGCTTTGGCTTTAGCTTTTGCTTTAGCTTTGGCTCTGGGCTGATAACAGACAACAGAAATCGTGGCTAAGTGGCGCACTCAAGCAAAGGCCACTCGATGGGCGGGCGCACAGCCCCGGTGAATAGGATCCGTATGTTTGGTAGGCGGAGACCCGGAACATTCAATGAGTTGAGAGAGCTCTGCGCTCTGTGAAGTGTAAACCGACGTGTGGCAACAGCAGCGGCAGCGGCGGCTACTCTTGTTGTGTTATTTGTTGTACGAACAAAAAAAAAAAAAAAGAAGAAAGATGAAAAAAGGGGCACATTGCTTGTTGCACCGGTTG